ATTAAATAGTTTTAAGTTGAAATATTTTATAATAATATTATTTTTTAATAATATTTTGAAAACATTTGGTTCTTTACTTAAAATTTCGTTATACTGAACATGTAATATTTCATGTTGAAAAATATACATTATAATTCACACATCTATAATTTAGGAATAATTGTACATTTTTATAAGCATATATATGGATTAATTTAATTCTTCCATGCACAATTTATATTTCTAAATTTTAAAAATAAAACAATTGAAACATTTTTTTTAAATAAACAATTTTTTTCCAAATTTAATTTTGTAAAATATAAAAAAATTATATTTTGCAAAATCCTGCTAATAATTCGTCATATTGGTATTGTTTTACCGAAATAGTATGCTTAGTAAGTATGCTTGATATTAATTTTAAAATTAACTGCGCAAATAATTATTAATATTTTATGAAAAATTAATATTTCTACATCTATTTTTATAAATATATTTATTATAATTGCAATTAATCTTATGCAAGATTTTGTCATATAGTTCCATAAATGTTTACCTATTGAGGTTAATATAAAAGATAGCAGACAGAATGTAACTGTGCACTATACTTTATTATTTCTACTATTATTAACACGTTAAATGTCATACTATTTAGTCATCAAGACCGATGCTTGTCCGAATTAACTTAAAAAGTTAGAACATATATGTATAAAGGGATCCCATGGCCCATGACTTGACAAGGCTTGTGACTCGTCTTGGCCGTCCTAGGTTTGTCATAAGATCAGTCTCGAAATTGATATAAAAAGGATTAAAATCAAGGCCCCACGACGCGATGCATCCAGTCAGGCTTACCATATGATAAATCAGCTCAGTAAACCTTTACACAGCGTAGGCATAAGGTGGCTCGCTATTGCTCGCGATTCGTGATTTGCGGCTCATTGGCTCGTCAAATTATCAATAAGTTATACGAGTCAAAGAACTCGCCAGGGTTCGCGCCTTGATTGAACGAAATAATTACTGCAGTACATCATTGCATCACCCAATTCTTCTACACTTATATAAATATATAAGAGCTTGTTTATTATTGCTAGTTGAAACATTTATTAAGTGACTATTTGATTATTCAAATCACATGGAGGATGATGAAAAAATTGTCGATTTGTTTCTATAATTATATAAAAAGTTTATAAAATAACTTTTTGCAAGTATTAATCACGTTCAACAGAATATTTATTTTGTTACTGTTGGAAGTTTTTTTCGTGCTGATTGCACTTACTTTAGATCTTTTAGATAATCCTATATTAGCGAAGAAAATTTTCAATATTTGCAAAATAAGCATTCTGTTGAATGCGATCATTGATTAGCTCAAACCTGCAAAATTATCGACTTATCTATATATACACAAAGGGTTCTTTGGCTTGCGACAACTTACCGCTAATCTTCGAAAACGACATATCACGAGCCATGAACCGCAAGCAATAACGAGCCGTCCTGGTCCCACAGCGATAGAGCTTTACCGAGTTACGTCGAGTCATAAGCCGTGGAACCTTACCTTAATACCCCCGTAACAAAAGGCCACATTTATGTCATACTAAAGTCTCACAGTAGTCAAGAAGAAAATATGATGTCACTGTGAGATTGTATCAAATTATCTATAAATATAATATTGAAGTGTGTGATAGCTAAAGTAATAAATATACTACACATGATAATATTATATAACATTATTCAATTACGTTAATAACATATCTTATAAAAATGTGGATGTAATAATAAAAATTTGATTCTAGCATCGCCGAAGAAATAAATTAAATACGGCATTCAACGTATTAATTAGTACTGAACGAATCGGTAATTTTATCACTTACTACTGGCGGAGTCAGTAGTTTTTTCAGGTCGATTTTGTTGCTCTCAGTTTCTTCCTTGGTAATTAATCGTAAAAGTTGAGTGGCCGCCTTGTGTTCGGCCGGTAACAGATTAGGGCTGTAATTGATATCTTCCAGGAACTCTATGGTCAGGGTCTTCAATTTCTGATCCATTTCGAAGTCCTGAGCATGCTTGGATACCCAGTGCCTGAGGACGTTTAGTACCCTCATAGTTGCGGCGGTCGACATTACCGATTCCTTCCGTCTATTCTTATCTCGGCCACGATTGTTACCGTCAGTAGCAGGCCCTTTGTCTGGTGGATTACTCGAAGCAGAAGTTGCGATAGCAAATGCGGCTGCCGCCGTGGACGTGCTGCTCCTAAATTCGAGACCAATTTTATTAATAATATGACGATCATAGTAAAAATAAAAAAAAAATCCAAATCTTAGTTGTTGAATTACGATCTTTCTTCATTTCGACTTGTCTAGGCGTTCACTCTACGTTGCGTTAAGAGCTTTTATCGCTTTAACCCGCCGGTCAGGTTTTTCGCGACGTACTTTAAAGCATGCTACTGTGCTGAAGGAGCGACACAAGGAAAGATTCAGTGATTGTCTATTTTTCTATTTTTTAAAAATAATATTGACTATTATATCATAATAAGCATCGTGATTTAAGCAAATAGAGTCTAATGTGCATTTTGATTTTGCAAAAAAAGTTTTGAGATATCGACAAATCAGCGGTGTAAATACTTTTTATTTACTATTTTTATTATTGTGTTGCTACAAAGTATATACTTGGAATGAGGATTGTATTGTAACTGGTTTCAGTAAATTCAAGTTTCGATGCTATAAATATGAAATAATGCATTAACATTATAACTGTGCTGAAGGAATTGCGGCACGAGAGAAGATCAAGTAATTGTTCATTTTTTTCTAGTTTTCAAAAACAATAGTTGACTACATATTATGTAGTAAGCATCATGATTTAAGCAAATAGAGTTTAATCTCGATTTTGCAAAAGTTTTGAAATATCGGCAAGTCAGGTGTAGATTTTTATTTGTTGTTTTTAATTACTGTGTCACTGTATAAAGTACATGTTTGGAATAAGGATTGTAATTGGCATAATTTTAACAGTTTAAGTATCGATGCTATAAATAATGTAAGTATCTAATATATAAATTATAGCTACACTAATAAAGAAACAAATAAAATCTCAATTATTTTCTTTTTTTCTTAAAAATAATGCTTAATTATATATTATATCATGTAATAAATTAATATAATAAATAAATAAATAAAAATAAATTTCAGAAGCATTGAGATCGGGATTCACAGAATTATTACCGGTTTAAATCATTCTTTGGAATATCCTGCGTTATAAGCACGCAAATAGCACAAGCGACTAAAAACTATTTCTATTTCGTTTGGTGATTGTTTCGTTCACTATGGTGCATTTTCTAAATGATGAAGAGATAGAATGAGTGAATTGAATCGTGTGTAAGCGAATAACCGTAGTTATTAAGGGAAGTAAGGGAAGAGAGACACATTTAGGATTAATTTTACGATTAATTTTCAGGAGCAATAGCTAATTGTTCCAACAAGCCATAAATCTATAACAATAGAGCAAAGGACAGACATTTCAGGCTTTATTTTTGAATGATGCTGCAAGCAGAAGGATTTGCAGCCATGCTACACGGAATAAGTGGATAATGACGCTTTTCAAAATGAGCCCACTTACCAGATAGGTTCAGGTCCAATGCTATGAATGACACAAAACAATACATGAAACACGGTTGAGTAGAAACAGCAGCGGGAGTATCTTCTTGATCTAAGGGCTCTCATTTAATTCTTCAAGACGGTGATAAAAATATAATTTATCGAGTAAAAGTGGAGTAAAATCTTGAATTGGGTGATAATTTTTTACATTATCATTATTATAAGCAATTTTATTTATCGATTATAAAGGAAGTAGAAATATTAAGATATTTACAAGTTTGAAAAGTATATACTGCATTAAAATTAATATATACTGCTTCTAAATTATTTATAAAACAATTTTCATAATACAGGCATAACAAATTTCACGTATTTACAATATATTTACAATTTGTCCAATAAATAAACACAACTCAAATTAACCAGAAATTTTGCATTATATTGAAACATAAATGTTTTACATCAATATTGCAAATGTTTGCAATTTGATTTTGAAACATAAATTTTTACAGTGTAGGGGAAATTATATGTTAACTCTAAGTTATTTACTATCTTATGGACTAAACTGTCAGAAAAACCGCCGAGCAATATTTATACGACATTATAATCTCTAAAATACTTTCCTTATCAATTTCTCCCTTTAATTGTAAGAATAATTTTAATTATAACTCTGATAAATGAAATATGATATCGAGAAAAAGCTCTCATGCGTTAGAAGGCGGAGACTGCCATTTACGGTACTCAACACATTCAGCAAGAACGAAATAGAGATAATTTTCATCGATACGAAAGTCTTCGAAAGTTTTAGAGACACGATAAAATGCATATAATAAAGCTATAAAAACGAACCTTCGATGACTCTGTCGAAAGCTAGTTATTACCACACCGGCTTTACTGGAAACCTGAGCATCGTGATAGCTGCTCTGCTGCGAGATCTCATCATGCATTGATCGTCTGTTTACCCAATAATTCTGCAAATTCATCGAAAAAAATTAAGATCCATAATTTTTTTTATACGGAAAGAATTTATTAATTCTGTTACCATATAAATGATAAACAATAATCTTTTGCTTTAATAAATTCTTTTTTTTTTATATTTTAAAGCTAGAATGTCTCCTAATTCTTGGTTTGAGGAAAAATATTGTACATTATAACTTTTTTTCTTAAAGAAAGTATAAATAAAATATAGTTATTAAAAGAGATATATAGTTATGAATAAGGTCCTTATTAACAGCGCATATTTTGTTTCTTACCTCAAAAATAATTACTTATATTTGTAATGGAGAGGGAAAATATTTTATATGACAACAAAAAATTACTCAAGAGTTAAAAGTAAAGCTACATCTTCTTATAAAAGTAAAAAAATTAATTAAAAATTTTGGCAGATTTTAAATCATCTCTAAATACGCACGATTAAAGTATTTCAATTATTATATAAATTATCATTTAAAAAATTCATAAATATTTAATGATTAAAGGAACATTTTATTTTCGATTACTTTATTTTATTAAATTTGAAGAAATTTTAATATTTTGTTATTTATACATACGCCAGTTATAGTGGAAACCGAACCGCTCCTTGGTCCGGTGGCGGCTGGCGCAGAAGCGATTGATGCTCTATGCTCCGAATATTGCTGTTGATTCTGCTGTGCTGATTGGTTGTTTGATTTTGGAGAAGTTATACTTTCGTCATCATCGGTCGATGTACTTTGCTCATCTTTACTCTCCTTTATCAGCGGAGAGACAGGCGGTTTTGGAGATTTTGGCGTCTTAGGAGTGGTAGGTGTCTTGGGTGTCTTGGGTATCTTCGGCGATTTGGGCTTGGTAGGCTCGGCTGATTGTGATGATGGTGGTATGTCGTCATAAGTAAATTGTACTATAATTTATTTAATTAATATGTATACAGGTTTCAATAACTATTACTTAAATATCTTCGAATCTATAAGGTTTAAACGAAAAATTGTTTCAATCAAAATTGCACAGTACAAAGAAGGTTATCACATGACAATAATAATTTTTTATCTCTAGGTGAAAGCGCTTTGGATTTCAAGGTGAACTTCGTTTTTTTTAATGAAATTATATGATTTTTTTACATAACAAGATTCCTCTAATTATATTCTGCATAAAGATATCAAAAAACCAATAGTTTACGAGATATTTTATACTTTATTCTGATACATATTGACATGAAATATTAAGTATCTCGTAACTATTAATTTTTTCATAACTATACCTTAATACTTTTATAAACAAATTAATGAGATAAATCAACTGGTGAAAAGAAAACACATAGTTATTTGTTTCAAAGATTATTTATTTTGTCTACATATTCTTTTAAAAGCAACTATATGTTTTCTTTCCGTCTATTGATGCATCTGCTTATAAAATTGTTAAAGTTCAATTACACAGGCCGATATAACTTCTGATCCAGAAACGATAGTATATAATCCCGAAGGTTTTTGGCACGCTAAAACCAAATTCGTAGCTCAAATTGCTCCATCACATCAAGTTTCTGAGATATTCGGAAAAGCTAACAATGCTAAAAAGGTCTATTTTGGGCATCTTTAGGATGAAATTTCTCGTAAACGTGATGTGATGGACAAATATAGGCTGCGGATTTAAATTCAGCATTAAAAAAATCTATCAAAAATCATCTATAATTATACAGGGTGTATAAAAAATATCGGGACGGCAAAATATCACCGAAAACTAAACATTTTAGGGAAAAGTATTTCAGATAAAAGTTGCAGGGTTTTAAAAAAAATTTACTTATTGGCATAATGAATTTGACCTTGAGTGATGTTGCCAAGGTCTGATTATGGTCAAATTGATTTTTTTAAATAGAACACCCTATTTTTAATGCCAGAATTTAATAGCTGATGTCAAAAGCTTTTCAAAACACTATAATAAAGTTATTTTTCATTAAGTGCTTTTTGAGTTATAAGACTTGAAAGTTACAGTACCGCCGACTTTATCATTATGCAACAAGGTGTCGACTGACCTGTTAGCTAAAACCTGTTGAATGCTGTTCAGGATCATATTCTGGATAATATTTGTTAAGAGTTTTTTCAAAGTCACTGGAGAATGTATCTCTTATTTTTATTTTTGCACCAAGATATTTGTAAAAATGGAAATAAGAGGTATAACCTCCAATGACTTTGACCTTGACAAATGTTGATCTTTGACAGATTATTTTGTACGTACAAGTATAAAACTCATATTGTATATTGTATAAAGCAAACATTACGAGTCGACGTTAAAAGTCGGTAACAAAACTGTAATTTTCCAACTTCTTTTCTCTTTTGGTATAAAGTCGATCGATTTGGATACATTATCATTTATATTTTAATTATGGAGGATTTTTTAATCTGTAAAGACAGTTAGAAAAATACTTGTTTAGAAAAATTGATAAAACAGATTTACTTTAGGACGTCCGATCTGTGGTGCCTTCAAACGATATAACCAATAACGACAACATTGTATACATTCGCTAAATATTGACTACATTTAACGCTGAGGATGGCCCCAAATATTCGACTTTGAAGCAAGCTAAATATATTGATGTTCTAATTTATTAATCGTTTAATTTACGAATTTTTGCGCACCAAGTACCGGACCGTACTCTCATTTGCTTTATTTTTCTAATAATTTTGAATTTTGAGATCCTTATTAAGTTTCTTTATTTTTAATATTTTAACCCTTAACCGGACGCGCCTTCCAGCCAAACGTTAATTTGGCGCGTGCAGCACTGAGTGCCACATCACAAATTTATTATTTAGGAGTTATAATAATTATAATGGATAAATAATTGAACAATCGTCACAAAAGCAAGTAAAATATATATATATATAATAAAATTAAATTCAAATTTAACTTAATTTGTCGTGCAATAAATTTATAATACAACAATCTTACTTAGCTCGTAATCCTTTGTTAATTATTTCGTTTTAAAATTTTTGCGCTCATAATATATTGATTTCTTAATTTTAATTACGCAGACTAAAACATGCGTGTTGTTACAATTCCGTTTTTATGTTTATTAGACTAATTTTTAGCATTCAAATTGTGATTTACTTAAAAAGTGTGCTAGATTTTTAAAACTTCTGAGATTTACCATGTATTGACCAATACGAAGTATGTACACTGAGGATGACTCGATGTGAATTAACTCGAAACGTTAATATTATAGCACGATAATCCTGCGTGACTTATAGTCCTTTGTTAAATCTTTCGTTTTTAAAATTTAACATTAAATAAAGAATATCGAAGGTCGTTAACAAAAAAACCTACATTATTAATGATATTTCAGAAAAACAAATTTTGCGACACTCACAATCAGTACCGCGACGCACCCACTTAAGGGTTATATGCAGAATATTGAATAGAGGAATTATATTATGCAAAAAAATCATAGAATTCCATTTTTTTAAATAAAGCTGATCTTAAAATTTTTAATCCGCCTGGAAATTTTTCATCCTCATATGATAGATCCTTTGCAGCATGTAATTTTTATTAAACAAATTTTCCTCTGAATCTCATAGATTTGAAAATATTTAAAGTTGTAACAACTATTGATACCCTGTACAATAATTTAATTAAAGGAACAAGCGGCATAATCAAATTATAATGAGCTAACATCTAATCGAAGAATTTTTTTTTCTAACTGCAAACTTTTTTTTTACGTATAGATTAATACTTTTAATAACTTTATTAAATTTAATTGTACCTTTTGTATCCTCTTCTGCAGTGCCAGGTGTATCAATTTCCGAGACACGACGTGAGTAAATACCTCCCTCTTGAGGACTCGGATCCGATCCAGATCCGGATCCAGATTCCGTCGAACCAACTAGTGTCACAGAACTCAAGTTGCTCGGTGAAGATGGTGCGCTGATTGCTGTAACGTCTTAAATTCCAAATTTCTTTCACATATCAGCAGTACTTTATAAATTTATCAAATAAGAAATATATGTAAAAAAATCCAAATTAATTTTGCTTATAGTAAGTCTTATCCTAATATTCTCTCTTCCCCTTCCCTTTTAAAATTACATAATATAAAAATATTGAAAGAAATTTCTTCTTTCTTTTTGTCTTTAAATATTACAATTAAAATCTGCACTACATTTAAATTTAACAATAACTTTATATTAATTTTTTATATTTAATTTAAATTCTGTAGCTTTGCGAGTTTACATATACGTGATCATACCTGTGAGTGTTTCGGAACTGGACGACACGGCTATTACTTTCGGTATTGTCAGATGACATCCATCATTTTCGATTTCGTTATTATCCACACGAATGCTAATTTTTCGCGGCATAGTCGGAGATTGCAACGAATTAGATGGACTGGACGCTTGCGACGTTGGACTGCGCTTTATGACTGGAGCCTCGGAGATGTGGCCGAGCACTTGTTCTTCGTCTACTAAACACGAGAAATTCGAAATCGCATTTTGGCATATTTTTACATCATTTTTATGTATTTATTTTTATAACTCAAACACTTTATTGCATAATTTAATTTTTTTTACCTAAATATGGGGGCGCCATTTTCGATCAAAATTAGATTTTAAATTAATATATATGTATCTATATGTATATTATTTAAATAAATTTTATCTCAGAAATAACTGCGCACCGATTACTTTTAGACTTTCAACACATAATCAGTTTGAAATATTAATAATCTCCTTCCTAAAGGGGAGAATGTAAAAATAGCCAAAATTGAATGAGCCACTGAATTTTGAAACTTTTAAAACGTATGCAATTGCCATTTTGAAAGGCCGTACATTCATAGAAAAATGTTTATTTATCCAGGAAAGCTTGGGAAACCTTTGAAAAATAATAAAACCGATCATATAAACACTCTGCAAAAAAATTCAATTTATTTCTAAACGATGATAGATTTTAAAATTAATGGTATGTTTACATTTAATACAAGTTGGATCATGAAATACTATTGTATAAGAATACACTATCAGAAAAGTTTATATATATATATATATATATATATATACACACACACACACGACGCAAAAAATTAAAAGATCACCTAGTCTGTTCTCAAAAATAAGTAAATATTCAAAAAAGTGTAACTTCATCAAAAATGATTATAACAAAATGTTTAAAAAAGCATTTAGCTTGAAATATCTACTTTTAAGGTCGGTAATTGATATTTCGATCAGATTAATTTTTTACGGAAATCTATATACAATAGAAATGGATATCCATCAAATCTGAAAATTTTGTATAAATTTTATAAGATTTATGGTGTGAAATAAAAATTGTACTCAAATGCAGTGTACAGCAGTCCGTTAATTAAAAAATAGTTTTATTATAGTGTTTTAGAAAGCTCTTGACACCAGCTATTAGATTCTGGGGGGCATCAAAAATAGTGTTCTATTTTAAAAAATCAATTTGACCGTAATCAGACCTTGGCAACATCACTCAAAGTCAAACTCATTATGCCAATAAGTAAATTTTTTTTTAAACCCTACAACTTGTATCTGAAATACTTTTTCCTAAAATGTTTAGTTTTCGGTGATATTTTGCCGTCCCGATATTTTTTATACACCCTGTATAATTATAGATGATTTTTGATAGATTTTTTTAATGCTGAATTTAAATCCGCAGCCTATATTTGTCCATCACATCACGTTTACGAGAAATTTCATCCTAAAGATGCCCAAAATAGGCCTTTTTAGCATTGTTAGCTTTTCCGAATAGAAACTTGACGTGATGGAGCAATTTGAGCTACCAATTTGGTTTTAGCATGCCAAAAACACTCGGAATTATATACTATCGTTTCTGGCTCAAAAGTCATATTGGCCTGTGTAATTGAACTTTAACACTTTTATAAGCAGATGCATCAATAGACAGAAAGAAAACATAGTTGCTTTTAAAAGAATATGTAGACAAAATGAATAATCTTTGAAACAAATAACTATGTGTTTTCTTTTCATCATACATGCTATGACCATAGCATAAAGTAGATATCTCGCAAGAGATCCGGGTTCGATCCCTGGCCAAGATAACATTTTTTTAAATTTATTTATTCGTCATTTTTCATTAGGATACGTGCTGGAGATACTCACGCTTCTTATAACCAGATCGCCAGTAACTTTTCGAATTATATCCACTAGTATTAACGTCAAAGGATCCATGGGATTTCGCGTCGCGAGTATCGCTCACTTCTGATCCATATCCTGTGTATAAAGCAAGATGTTATTAAAATATTTAAAAACCACAGCTAATATACATACATATATATATATGTATGCATATATGTACGCGCGCGTGTAGATACACACACACACATACACACTTACTTCTAAAAAAAGCGGTATATATACGAAAAATTTGGGACAACTTTACTAAATTTCAAATGATCACAACTTGTAAAATAATGAAGATAAAAATATGATTAAAAATGCAAAATAAAGTTTGAAATGTTTACTTTAAGAATATTTAAATAAGAATTGTACTGGGCTATTATTTTTAAAATGGTGGATGACAAAGTGAGAAAATGCAAAATTGATAATCAAAGATTCAAGTTTGCGATGGTACGTAGTGTAAATTAGGTATTGCAGTTAATGGGACAACATGCACGTGAAAGTATAGAATTTTATCTTTAAATCATTTGTTTATCAAGCTCGATATGATAATTTTTTGTTGAGTTATCCCAAATTTAAGATACTCAGTTATCTCAAATTTAAGATACTGTCATTAGCTCAAATTATGGTTGTAATTCTTCCCAATATAAACTGTATGAAATTTGACTGGTCGAAATGTCTTTGTGTACGTGCGTATAAATATGTATGTGTGCGTGCATGCATGCATGTGTGTGCAGGCTGTATTCGTGCGTTTGTGCGTGTATATTAATAGTTTGTATGACCTCGTGCACGTATTATCTCATTCATATGATCAAACATACTTCTTAATAAGGACGCGCGCACGCGCGCATATGTACACGTACTTATACATATATACACAATGATGTCCCAACCAATGAAACTCTATACAGTTCATATTGGGAAGAATTACAATCATAATTTGAGCTGATAATGCTATCTTAAATTCGGAATAACTCAGCGAAAAATTATCGTATTGAGCTCGATAAAGATGCGATTTGAAGATAAAATTCTATATTTTCACGCGCATGTTGTCCCATTAGGCTGCGACATCTGATTCACATCATGTACTACGCAAACTTGAACCTTTCATCAATTTTGCATTTTCTCACTTTGTTATCCGCCATTTTTTAAATAATAACCCAGTACAATTCTCATTCAAATATTCTTAAAGTAAATATTTCAAACTTTATTTTGTATTTTTAAACATATTTTTATCTTTATTATTTATCAAAATGTGATCATTTGAAATTTGATAAAATTTTCCCAAATTTTTCGGGCACCTACCGCTGAGAATTTTTTGAGAATGAGTGTATATGTGTGTGCACACACACACACACACGCACGCACGCACGCACACACACACACACACAAGATGTCCTATTTTAATCACCTCAAATACTTCTTAAACAGTGCATTTTAAATAAAAATTTTTCAGCCAAAAATTTTAGGACTTTGAGGAGATGGCACCATAAGATAATGCCATTAATTTGATTTTGGGTGGCGTCGTCAAGGTCAGAGCAAGATTACTTTGAATTTTTTAAAAGGAACTCCCCATTGTTCATTACGTATTCTTGTAGCTTACCTCGAGAGCTTTCCAAAACATTATAATTAAGTTTATTTTCATTAAGTACTTTGCACGTTATAAGACTTGAAAGTAACAGTACCGCTAGCATTAGCATTATGCAAGCTGTTCGGCTGACGGCTAAAACCTGTTGAATGTTGTTTAGGATCATGTTCTGGATAACATTTGTCAAACAAATGGCATCATCTTATGTACTCCTCAAAGTCCCAAAACTTTTGTCTGAAATATATTTTCTTAAAATGCACTGTTCAAGAGATATTTGAAGTGATCGATTAAAATAAGACACCCTGTGTGTGTGTGGGGGGGGGGAGTGTGGGTGTGTGTGTAATATATATATTTTGTGTTCTACTAGTAATATATATCTATTAATTGTTGATTGAGTTAAAAAGAAAACTCAATATATGCACAATAATATCAATTTTCAAGCTTGAAATTGCTAAGCAATAAAAGTGATAAAGAAGTTGGAAACAAGCAAACAATTGCGTCAAAAAATAAAAATTCATTAAATATTAAAATCAGAGAAAGAAAACATTTAAATAATTTTTCAATAAATATATAATCGAGGTAAGTTTTAACTTTTAGTTTTCCTCAGAATCGATAAAATAAATTCATTTTCTATTATTATTTATTAATTGACTTAGAAAGAATATAACAATAAGTTAAGTCGGAACGCTCTTATATTAATTATTTGTTGAAAAAAACTAGTTTTAATCTTTTTTTTCTTTAAGTTTGATGTTTAATAAACTAGTTTTTATTACTTGTCTGAATTATTTGCTCATTTTTTATCTCTCCATGACTTTTATTAATGTATACACCTGATACTGAGCTTGCGCCGCTAGTTCGTCTCGGTGAAAAGCTTTTTCTTCGATCCTCGGAATATAATTGTGTTTCATTTGCATTTGTTCCTAATACGTCTAAGGATCTAAAACATAAATACAGAAAATGTTATTCAGATGCCAAGAATAATTTCAATAATGTATAGAAATTACTTTCTACAGAGGAACAATAGTAATATAACAGCATTCATAAAAGAACTTCTTTATTACGTAATATACAGCCTTGTCCATAAGTACGTAACATCCTTCATTTATTGGAAGAGACGGTAATAAGAGCCAAAGAAGAAATAATAAAATATCGGAATTGTTATAAAAATAAATGTTACTTTTCAATAAAACTATTTCTATTCGATTTTTCATTAAATATAAAATGTTTACGTCAATTTGTGAAAGGTTTATACTTATGGCCAAGGTTGTATTATTGAGTTTGTGATAGATCAATTATGACATTTCAATTTTTTGAAATTTTGTAGTTAAATTCATTTTAAGCTTATAATTGTTATGGTTATGATTATATTTGTTATGATTATATTTGTTACCTCCCGCCTCCCCCAAGAGATCCGGTGGTTATTTGCGCGTCCGGCGGTTCGGCTTCATAAAAAACTTTTTTTAAGGCCTCCAGCACTGTGACGCCATCGGTGAATACTCGATATGTCAACAGAAATGTGTTGAGAAAATCGATACTAAGAAATCTGAGGTCGGTCAATCGCTGTAATAGTCGCTCGGGCGTCGCGGAACGGATCTGCGGTATTTTGCAGGAGTTCAAAGTGCGACAGAATCTGATATCCACGTCGTCCTTGAACAGCTTTGGGTCGTTCCGGATGGATTGTGGCATCGTGACGGAGCTGGTGTCCGACAACGATCCATGAAGCAGATCGTTAAAGTGAACGTTGTCCATACATTGACTTATGTCACTAACCCACGCTGCTTTTTCCTGTCAAAGTTTACTTTAAGGTATTAATACGTATATAGTAGATA